AGCATTCAGAGGTCTGCGAGAAAAATAAGGGTAAACGTTGAGACTATGCAGCTCAGACATGAAACTTATAACACGTAGTTTTCTATTCTCTATGTAAAATCGATCAAGAACTGTATTAAATACTCGTTTACATTGTAAATAAAATGATTATTATTTTACTTGCGTATTTTGTACATTTTTATGCATGAAAAACATGCTATATTGCTTAGAGGAGTAAGTCTTTTTATGTAGATATTACTGCGCTGTGTGATTAGGTCACGTAATGACCTATAACCTTCGAAAAACTTCATACAGGTATGAAGATATTTGCTCTCTGCATGTTTATATAATAGAGAGATACCACAAATGTATATATTTATGAACAAACGTAAAAATACCGTCATATATTGAAAGAATCATAAAAAAATGCTAGGTTTCTCGCAATTACACAATCTTACCATGCAAGTGTCTTACCTCTATAAATAGCTAAGAATTTCCACTATCGATCTATGACGTCATTTGTTAAATATGACGTCAGCTTAAAACGAAAAGGTCTCGTGAATGTAAACATGGGGAAACTTAAGGCAAATAATTTTCTACACCCGTGAAACAAATGATTGTTGACAAATATCTGTCAGGACAAAAATATGCAACTATTGGCCGTGAATTGAACATTCCTCGGAACAGTGTGTATTCAATTGTACAGCGCTATTTAGCTAGAGGTTCGGTGGAAAAGGCCCCAAGAAGTGGCAGAAAACGAAAAATGGACGACCGTGAAACTAGGAAACTTTTAAGAGTCGTAAAAACCAAACGTACTGTTCCGTTAGCTGGTATTACGGATATTATCAATCAGGGTAGGCATTCTCCTGTTTCACAGAGAACAGTCAAAAGACGATTGTATGAAAATAATTTTCATAGGAGGATTGAAAGAAAGAAGATCCGTATTCGCGACGAGAACCGCAAAAAACGTGTGGCATGGGCAAGAGGAAAGAGATTGTGGAGAGTTGAAGGAGAATGGGATAGAGTGATATTTACAAATGTACAGATGAATGTAAGGTAGTAATAGGAGAAAGCAACCGTGTGTATGTCTGGAGACGACCGGGTGAAGATTGGATGCCCGAGTGTTTATGCCCTGGTCCGCCGGTCAGAGTAAGTCTGATGATCTGGGCATGCATAACATGGAATGGTGTGGGGACAATATGTGTCGTAGATGGTAATATCAATGCACAAACATATATAGACATACTTGATTCAGAACTTTGGCCCGTTGTAGCTCGGCATTTTCCAACAAACAATTTTATTTTTCAAGATGACAATGCGCCCGTTCATCGGGCCCGGATTGTTACTGAATTTAAACAGAGAAGAGAAATGCCATCAACTCGATGACATGGCCAGCACAATCCCCTGATTGTAATATTATAGAAAACTGTTGGTTATTATTAAAAAATAAATTGAAGCAACGAATTTTAAATATAAACAATGCTGCCGACCTCGAACGTGAAATCCGCCATATTTGGACAGCCATCCCAACAACATACATACAAAACTTGTATCGTTCAATTCCTAGACGCTTGCTTAAAGTAGTCAGTGCCAAGGGCAATATTACAAAATATTAAGGTAAGTTTTATTATTTAATTATCAAAATTTAGTGTATTATATATGGCTAAAACATTCCCTGTAACTCATCTGTTTACGTCCGTTTACGTGACGTCGCCGACGTTTGTTCATAAATATATGGCACAATACTGTACTTTGGTTAATGATTTGGGTGTGTGCATCAAGCAGAAATGGAGTATATATATTATATCAATTATTTTTTTTATATATAAATTAAAAATTTGCAGAGAGAATGTCAAATGGCGTAAAGAAAGATTTAGCATCAATCCCTGGATTTCTTTTAAGGATACAGAAGTACAGGTATGATGAATATAAATGCTAGCTAACTATTTTGCAAGAATTGAGCATTTAAGTAGATGCACTATATCAGCATGTACGTCATATTATATGAAACTAATAAAGTTTATAGTCAATATGTATAATAGTGAACCATTTTTTCTTGAAGAATCTTGGTATGTGTTTGATGTATATAAAAATAAGTGAAAAATGCATTGCTTTATTCATTCAGGAGATGCTCAGCAATCTGGCAAAAAAGGCTGGCTGGAAATGAAATGTTATGGGGGTTATGTCTAGCTTTGGATTCCACTAAATTCCCATATTTATAGAAATCAGATCAGAGCAAAGGTGTGCACACATTTTATTTATGTATGTTAAATATCATCCTAAGAAGTATCAAAGTCTATTGCTAAATTGAAAACCTCGTCAGAACAAAATTTTGCACTGCATTCCATTTAAGCTATACATTGTGAATTGAATTGTTTAGAAAAAAAAGTTTTAGCTGATGGGTAACAATGAAGTTGATGTAGAGGGTCCCTCCATTAAGTCTCTACATAATTATCGATGAAAATGTTTCCTTCCTCCTACAATTATGCTAACCAGAGAGGGAATACTTCACACTGATGCTAGTATGAAAACAGTAAGCAGTCAACATTTTCAAAATGTAAAAATATTGATGTTAAACATTAATGTTAAAATTTTGAGATATATATTTGTTTATTGGAAGGACATTTTTGCTGGTAAATATGATTAATGATAGAAAATTAGTTCATGTTAAATTGTCTGTTGGATGTCACAAGCAATTTTTCCAATCATATTCATCTTTAAAATCACTTGAGTCTTCCGCTCAGATGAGCTAAAAACAAGTACTTTAAACTTTAAATAAGATTTAAATGGTTTTCCATACAAATACATGAATATAGTGATCACAATATAATTTTTATTTCAGAAATATCATTTTAAACAAAAAAGATAAGATTGGAAAACAAAATTTACCGCATTAACTGTAAATATTAAACTTTAATAATAATAATAATAACAATAATAATAATAATAATAATAATAATAATAATAATACTTTATTTAAAGAGGGTAACCCGATTAGTGCAAAGCACTAGTCTTCCTCAGGGCCCTCTATGCGTGTATAGTACAGTTATGAATAAAACAGTATAATAATCAGAAAAAATACAAGTATATGACATAGGTGAAAGCATTTGAGAAAAGTATATATTATTAAAACATAGAAACAAGTTACAAATTAAGAAATGTTGCGTCCATTGATGATAAATTTTTCTACATTTTTACGAAAGGATTATGAAGTTGATGAAAAACGTACATGTAGTGGTAATTTGTTCCATAAATGAACGCCTGAATATTGAAAAGAATTTTTAAACATATTTGTTCGATACTTTGGTAGACTAAGGTCATAATTGGATTCAGAACGTAGGATATAATTATTAGAGGAAATGAATTCAAAAGAGTCTCTCAGATAATCAGGTGCCATACCATGAAGTGTTTTATAAAGCAATGTGTATTTGTTAAAATCTATCAATTCATATATAGTCAACCAACCAAGTTTCACAAATAATGGTAGTGATGGAGCATCTGGTGCCACATCTAATATAATTCTGGCTGCTCTTTTTTGTAATTTAAAAACTCTTTCTATGCCAGCACCTGGAGCATTGCCCCAAATAGTCAAACAATAATTCAAAGAAGGCAGAATATATGCATTATAGAAAAGTTTTCGTGTGTGTAATGGGAGAAATTTTTTGATTTTACGTAATGTAAATAGTTTATATGTCAAGGACTTGCAAACAGAATCAATATGACTATTATAGCGCAATGAATTATCAATATGTACTCTTAGGAGTTTTTCTGATTCAACATTTTTAAGAACTTTGTCTGATACACACAAATCTAGTTTCGAAGATGTTAACTTAGATTTTCTATGTTGAGTTCCCATAAGCATACATTTTGTCTTATCAATATTCAACATCATATGCTTTCAAGTAAATGTAATTAAATGAAACTCCAACAGACACTCTCTGATGAAAAAAAATCCCTTTATATATGAAAATTAAACAAAAGTAAAAGGAATTGTTTTTTTTTTTATATACAGACCTTTGTTTTTGTTCTCAATGGTTTTGAGATCAACAGAATTTATGCCGTTTATTATAATATCTGAAGCATTTATATAAAAGAAAAACACGACAACCTATAATACGAGTACTGTTTTCACCCTCACATTTCATTTACAGGAAAAGTTGACATAGGTTTCCCTATAAAACAAAGAAGTTTTTTTTTATTAGTATCTTTTTTATTTTTTCAGTCTTACTTATATGCAGATCACTTATATACATTATTTTGTATTCCTCATTATATGAAAAAAAAAGACTTAAGATTTCTACAATCTGAATATGCTGATATACGTTTGAGAGAGAGAGAGAGAGAGAGAGAGAGAGAGAGAGAGAGAGAGAGAGAGAGAGAGGTTACCTGTTATGGAGATAAAGCCTCTAGTAATTATACAATTTTAATCTGAATTACAAATATTTATATAGGATTTTTTAAGTTACAAAGAAAATATAATTAAAGTATACATTAAAATTCAGAAGTATATTTTCAGAAAGGACTCCATTTTATCTACAATTTAATAAAAATGCGTGCATTGAGGTAAAAAAAAACATAAGTGATGAAAAAATGTACGTGTGTAATGTGCGTAAAAGGTAGAGAATGAATAATATCTTTGTGAAACAAGTTTAACTTTGATGTAATTCAAATTGATCAGAACAAGAAGGGAAGTCCTTGTGTAGTAGTGTCATATTCTAAATTTTGAATTTACCAGGTGGGAGTTAATACAAAATTTAGAACATGACAACTAGTTGTCAGGCTCTAAATTTTGTATTTACTCCCATCCGGTAATTTTAAAATTTAGAACCTGACAGTAGGCAAGATCTTCAGGGTAAGACCTCATGTGAAATCTCTTTATATTTATGAATTTGAAGAACATAATATTTGTAAATAATAAAAAAAAAGAAATGCTATAGTCATTCCACTTAACGACTTGGTATCTTTTTATCACTTTATTCTAAATGTAGGTGATTTACTTTTGCACAAGTATAAAATCCATTATGTCACATGTTATAGACCTCCCAAATATGCCCTCCCCGAGCAGTAAGTCAGCAGCAGTCCCCCATTCTTCCGCTGTCTCACGGCCTAGTGAGTCATTGGATACCTGTTTCTCTGATTTATTCTTATTTTGTTATTGTAAAGGGGTTGTCTTCGTGTTCTCTGAATTGGTATCTTTGAGGGCAGTACTTCATGAAATGGTCGGGTAAATGACAAATGACAAATGAAGCAATCTCTGTTGGTCTGGTTTGGAGGGTAGAAGCTGTTCTGGGTTCCATTAGTATTACTCTCAAGGCTTTCCAACCTGGAGATCAGATCTTGCGTTGTAGAGTCTGTACAATTGCTTCTTAAAGACATCCCCGGTTTTCCTGCAGATGCTTATTTTCTGGTTACATCACTTTCAACCGCGCGTACATTAAAGTTTTTTTCGCACCACCCGAGGATGGATTCATACCTCTTTATGACGTCAACTACATCTGCAATGGTCAGGCAATCCTTGTCAGCACTTCATTTCTAGAGATATTACCTTGTATAAATGGCTCAAAGCTAAGGCTTCTTGGCCTAGGGTATCTAGATTACAGTAGCCTCTTTGTGCCATCGGATGTCATCACCTAACACTACTATCGACTCACCTGGTTGTGGTTTTCTAATTTCTAACTTTGGCAACCACCTATTTTGGTTCAACTTATTTACTAGTGATCTATAAGAACCATCAGAGAGACTCATATAATAAGTTCTGGCCTGGTCTCTTAAACTTGCTGCAGGGAAAAGTAATTTTGACCCATCTGGTCATCTGCCTAGTTCAGCACTGTCCTTGATATGATCACTCATCCCAGTCATCCTTACCGTTATGTGGTTCAGGCTTCATTACTATATATGGACATACCTGAAACAAGCTTGTCATTGTCTTCTAACTGACTACTCATAAATGACCTTTGGGAAGGGGTACACTCAGGATCTAGTACAACTCCTTTTCTGGAAAAAAGGATAAGGATTAGGGTCTATATCTGGACTGTGGGAAGTCACTTAGTCTGTCAAGTCTCTTATGGTGGGGAATCTTCAGTATCAGGGGTTGGTGCCTCTGTCATTAAACTAAAGTCTAACTATTATTTGAATAAAATGTTTAATAACAGGTAAATTCTATACTATATACACTATGTACGAAACCAACAAACTAGACAACTGAGCAATAAAATAAATAAAGGACATAAATTCATATCACTTGTTGCTGTTTTGAATTTAGCATCCCACTTCTGACACAAAAAACTGTAAGCTCCCCACGGATGGCCTTTCATAAATGGGGGTTACAAATTATAGCACCATACTGTACACACACAAGTACAGTGGTACTTCAGTCCTGGTTAACTTCAGTATTGTAAACAGAAATAGAGATTCTTAAAGATAACAATAATTTATTAACATATTTCAGCATTTATTTAACAACATCAGGTATAATACGAGTTTGATCAGTAGCGTCTACCGCACAGGGATATGGCAAAAGGGGGCAGGGCATCAAGGTGACCGTCAAATCTATATTATATAGTAATTAAGTATAAATAATGCCTCCAAATAATACCTGCATTTTAAATCATATTCAGTAAAAATATTTACAAATGATAAAAAAAGAGAATATTATTGATAGAAATTTCATTAAATAGTGTTTTGGCCTTACTGCAACGAAGTTCTAATCGAAAAGACGGGCGAAAAATGTTAGCCCTGTACATATTGATATATACTCTACCTACGATAAAAATAATTTTGCCAATACGAACATACAGTATTGGTTATACAAATGTACATGCATATAAGACAGACAGCTCCTTTCTGTTTCGAGCAACACATTTGAAAAAAAACCCAAAATGATTCTGAGGTAAAAATATGATAATGTGTGCCCCATCAATAATTATATTTGAAAGCATTTTATTCAATTGTCCTGCATATGTTTTTATGTCCTTTATATGCGGCCTTATTCCGAGATTGAAACAAGGAAGTTTTAGCTTTAAAATACACTTAAAATGCTTAGGTACGTTAAAAATTGTGCTTAATATGATATAGATTTATTTTTGAGTAAGGAAGTTATTTTTTAATACAGTAGAAGTTAAACTATTTTTTTTTTAATTAAAATGATTCCGAGGTAGTATTGTAATGTATGTACCACTAGTCTAACTTGCACTTGTTATATTTCAGAAGAAATGGCATCTTCAGTGGTGATATTATTCATACTGCTTGTGCTGCTCTGTTTTTCCCACGCCGCGCAAAATTTTCAGGAAGTGTCCGTTTGTCCGAGAAATGCAGACACCTGGAAACTTGAATCTGACAAGAAGAATTGTAAGGGGGATACCCCAGACTATCTTTGTGCAGCGATAGAGAACAATGTTGGAAAATACGGTGAAATATGTACAAAATACGGATTGTCCCCAGCCGGTAAGTAGACCAATGTGTCATCTTCGGAATTTTAAACAAATTAAGTACATTCACAGTGAAGACTAAAAGATTATTCTTTACGTTACCTGTGCGTGATTATTACAGCAAAACTAGTTAGGAATCCTATTGACAACATTATACTATTTAAAGATTCTGATAAGTAGTCAATTTAATATAGGATTTGGCTTGTATATGCCTAATGGAGGAAGGATGCAGTTTTCAATTTGAAAATGAATATATCTTTGAATCAGATTTGTAATAACGAAGAAATAGTAGATAATTACTGGTATGGTGAAGGATTGCTTAATGATACCATATTCTCTCCCTAAGAATGAATAAAAAAACACTTACTTCGATTTTAGTTCCCTTCTGCATTGTAGTGATAACTAATGATGTGGATGGTTTGTTGTTTTACATTTAAGCAACACTCTTCCAATATCAATTTCACTACACATTTGTTTCATTCATATTCTTCTTTTTTTTGCAGCCGATAAATTTGTTCATTTGAACCTTTAGTTAAAAGTTACATGACTGTATTTCTTACCTTTGGAGATTTCATGTAGTATTACATGGTGTGTGAAATCTAAAGCAACATGAACTTAATGTAGCAGAAGCTAGATAACTTAATTCATATAGCAGAAATGAAACAGGAGCAAACCAAAATAATTTCTACTAGTCATTGGTAATAATAAGTAAATTCATTCAAAATAGTTATGAAAAATAAATGGATTTTGTTAGACTTGATCATGTTGATATATGGCTATGTAGTCTACCAAACCTTTCTACCTACTTTTAATAGGTATAGATCTGACACAAATTGAACTGAATTGCAAGGGCATGACTTGTCAGTTTTGATAAAATATATTAAAATGTCAATTCAAAAAATATAGAGTTTTTCCGGCACATTAATACATTTTCATCACTATATATTTAGTTATAGGGACATATGAACATGTGTGACGTTTGAAAGAGATTGAAAGAACTTAACTTTGGTTTTGATTAATTTGAATATAACATTTCGTTGAATTTACCATATCACTTTTTATCTTTTACAGGAAAATGTGCTGTGTTAAACAATCAGACACATTATTTAGACTCTGTAGACTGTAAAGCAGCATCAGTATGTCCAGCAGTTCCTTACAATCCTTCAGAGTTGTGGAAGTGTAAGTATTCAACACTTTTTGTGAAATTCTATTTGAAATTTGTACATCTAAACTTTATGTAATGTGCATATGCATAGCTAGCAAGCTGGATGGTCTAAAAATGGACATATTATCAAGGTTTAACTAAAAACATCTATTTTTTCCTGTTTGAAATGCATATCTACATGTATATTGAGCATTGCGTATATAGCATGTCTGTTTGAAAAAGGGGGTCTCTTCAATATGTTTGCGAGTTAGTACTGTTATTTACAAAAAAGAACAATAGTTCTTTAATTGTGTAAAATTCTGCATCCATGAAAATGGGTATTGCTTTTGAAATGAGTAACTGTTATTCTCTCAGGTCTCCTCAATCTAAAAAAAATTATGTGGGCATGTACACAGTTTACAAAGGATACATTATTCTAGCTTGTAAATATAGGTTTGATGACTAAAGACTAAAACCTTAAACTAAGAAAACAATTTTATATGTGGAAAAAAACTCGAAATCCTCACTTCTTTGCCAGTGGTAAATGAGCTCAGAAAACTGTATTTAACACAAATCCATAAAATACGTGTTCCATATAGAATACTGCCTTTTTGATGAATTTTCATGCGTAATATATATGCTATCATTGCTGAAATAAGCCAAGAAAAAAAATAAACAAGTATTGGTGCTTTGGCATTTTTATTATTTATTGAGATTTCTAAATGCAAATCACTATTAAACTTTCCTAATTAGTGATATACTTCAAGCATAATTAATGTTTGGTAAAATGACAGCTGTCAGAGTGTATATTGAATTTAAACTAGTATTAATTGTAACGGGGACCGTTACAGATGTTCCCCAAACGCTCCCCAACTTCCTTTTGGTGTTTTATTCCCTGTAAGCTTCATTAAATAAGGCAATCAAGTATATTGGTTTTTTTACGCATTACACGCGCGCGCACGGGCATGCATGTACAAAATGACCATGTCAACTTGTCTACACTTTTAATACATCTTTATATTCAAATTTCATAAAAAGATAAAAAAAATTCGGCTATATTAAGTATATCTGTCATTTTACGCACTGCAAGCGCGCGCACGTGCATGCATGTCCATGATGACCGTGTCGTCTTGTCAATACTATTAATATATCTACATATTTTGAGTATCAAAGCATTTCAACAAAAAGTATAAAAGTTACAGCTATATCAAGTATATTGGTCATTTTAGCATTGCATGCGCGCGCATGTGCATGCCTGTGCATGTTGACAATGTCGTCTTGTCTACATTTATAATATGTCTATATATTCTGAGTATCAAAGCATTACATCAAAATATGTAAAAGTTATGGTTATATCAAATATATTGGTAATTTTACTCATTGCACGCGTACGCACGTGCATGCATGCGCTGACAATGTCATCTTGTCTACACTATTAATATATCCATATATTCTGAGTATTAAAGTATTTCATCAAAAGATATGAAAGTTTTGGCTATATCAAGTATATTGGTCATTCTACTCATTGCACGCGCACGCACGTGCTTGCAAGTGCATGCATGTGTGCGCTGATCATGTCATCTTGTGTACACTTCTAATATATATTTATATTCTGAGTTTCAAAGCAATTCATCAAAAAATATACAAGTTAAGTCTATATAATTTGTGTTGGTTATTTCAATCATTGCGCATGCGCACACGTGCATGTATGTGCATTCTGACCATGTCATCTTGTCTACACTTTTAATATATCCTGATATCCTGAGTATCAAAGCATTTCATCAAAAGATATGAAAGTTATAGCTATATCAAGTATATCTGTCATTTTACTCATTGCACGCGCGCGCACGTACACGCAAGTGCATGCATGTGTGCGCTGATCAAGTCTTCTTGTGTACACCTCTAATATATATTTATATTCTGAGTTTCAATGCAATTCATCAAAAAATGTACAAGTTAAGTCTATATCAATTGTATTGGTTATTTCAATCAATGCGCATGCGCGCACGTGCATGCATGCGCATTCTGACCATGTCATCTTGTCTACACTATTAATATATCCTTATATTCTGAGTATCAAAGCATTTCATCAAAAAATATAAAAGTTACAGCTATATCAAGTATATTGGTCATTTTACGCTTTGCACGCGCACGCACGTGCATGCGCGTGCGCGCAAAATGACCTTCGTTCCGCAAATCTACATAACATTCCTATTAACCCTAAAAAGGTTTCACCTCAATCGGATGTGTAGTTTCGGGGATCACTCACGGACAAAAAAGTACCCAGGAAGAAAAATAATAATAACTAGATACTTATTGCCTAGGCAATAACAGGTCTTCCGTTTTCTTGACTTCTTTGAAAACCAAACACAATTTTCTCAATAAGATTACTCTAAATAATTAACAGAAGTTATCTCAAGGCTCTCAAAGATATGTAGATACAGATAAAAACAAACGGAATTACTTTTCTGTTTTCTTTATGTACTTCGTCATGAACGAAAGTGTTCCAAACGAATAAAATGTTCATTCTACACCTAAATTATTCACAACTGATCATCCCTAAATGTTTCCATGAAAAACTACTCATGTTTGAGACAACTTCAGGTTTTTTGGTTGGCACTTCCGATGTAAATAAATTGCATGGTCATGGTCTATCTAACATCTGCATTAGCCAAACATTTCTGTAAAAAGAAAAAAAGACTTTAAAAATTCACTTTTTTGCATCGCTTCCTGTCACGACCTGAAGTGACGGCAACGTACGTTTTTTACATGATGTAAGTAAACTGGTGACTGGCTATCAGTTCTGAAAGTTTTAGACTTCAGTCATGTACCGTTTTTGAGCAATAAGGTGAACAAAATGTCAATTTGAGGACAGAAAAACACGCGACCGGAAGTGCATTTTCCTAAGATGGTTGACTTCACACTAGACAATTGCAGTCTCAAATAACATTTTGTGAAAATCATTTCAAAAACTTTATCAATAAGTGATATTTTTGTGACAGTTAAAAATCCCAATCACATAGTTTCTCTCTTATAACCGGAAGTTGTCGTTTTTTGTTTCCAGTGAGACCAACACATATAGAAACTGTGAAAGAGATTCAATTATATGATGCAAGTTTTATTTTAAAAGAGAAAAGTTTAAACTTTTGATTTCTTTGATCACTTCCTGTGACGACCGGAAGTGACGACTGACGCTATTAACCCAAAAGTTTTTGCCTACTCATTAAGCTCTATTACTCATATCAGTTTGGTGTCTTAATCTCTTACCGTTTCTGAGATCTCACTTTGACAAGTTCTCATTTTGCGGACAGTAAAACACGCGACAGGAAGTGAATTTTACCAAGATATTTGACGTTACTCTAGACATTTGCAGTCTAAATAACATATCTAAAAATCATTTCAAATACTTCATCTATAAGCGATATTTATTGGAAAGTAAAATACTCAAATTATGTAGTTTTTCTCTTATAACCGGAAGTTGACGTTTCTGTTTCCGGTGGGACCAACATATTTCGAAACTGCAAAACAGGTGCAATAAAGTGATGCAAGATTTAATTAAAATAAGAAAAGTTGAAATTTTCGATTTATTTGATCTCCTCCTGTGACGACCGGAAGTGACGGCTGACAAATTTAAACATATTCTGCAAACGTACTTGTCATGATCAATAATCCCTGAAAGTTTGAGGTCTTAATCTTTTACCGTTTCTGAGATATCGTCCGGACATGATCTCTTTTGAAAAAACGGAAATCGGATATATCTGACGACCGGAAGTGAATTTTGCAAAATCCTTGAAAATGTTTTTAGTTTATTTTATTTGTCATAACCCCTGAAAGTTTCAAGAAAATCCATCGAGCCATCTCTGAGAAATCGCTTGGACAAAAAACGGGAAAAAAATAATAATAATAACTACAGCAAAGCTCGTTGCAAAGCAACGAGTGGGTCTTCCTTCTTAGCGATTAGCTTGTAAGTTGACATCGTAATAAATGGATAAATATTTGTTTAATTTCCACCTAAAGGTTACATGTTTCTGTTTAGATTGTCAACTTTGCTAACATTCTCTTTCTTCTTTGACCCAAATATCGAGACGTCATCTCCGGAACTCTGAATCTGGAGTGAGCATGAGGATATATAATTCAACTGTACTCTCTCCAACAGTACTCTTGAAATTGTATCCAAAACACTAATACTCCCAGACCCTCATTTCTTGAACTTTGACTTTTGATTTTTAATTTCTAGACTTTTCTATTCATCTAACATCTTTGCTGCAATCATGTTAGTAACACGTGCCACACTACAGAATCATCAGTGTTTTGCTACATCACTGTCATAATAATTGCTTGACAAAACATTTACACAGCATAACTACATAGTAAGTAATCCAAATGTGTTACTGATTGAGGATATCCATTGTTTGACAATCAGTAAGTAGAAAAATACTCTTACAAGAAATGCACAGGGATGATTTCAGTAAGACACTGTGTCACTTGTGGAAAATTTTAACATAACCTCTTTTTATGACGTCGAGCTCTTGGAGCTCGAAACGTCATCTAGCAGGCGCCCAGTTGAAATCGCGACCGGATATGTACGCGACCGAATGTGTCAGTCGATGCATCCGCAATAGAAAATAGCAATAGCTATAAACCAATTTCTTTGAAAACGCTCAAAATGAATAATACCTTGAAAATAAAATTGCATCAATTATATCTGCAATTAATTCTATTGCAAAACAACAATATTATGTTTTATTCTCACATAAGAAAAACGTGATGGTTGTTGCGGATGAATTTCTACACAAAGGGTGCATTGGATGACATGAATAACATTTCGGAACGATAACCGTGTAACATAAACAACACAACAGGAGGTAAAATAATTACAAAATTACATAAACACGAATACTACAAGACTAAAAAGATTGAATTTCTAAATCTTAGTTTTACTTATACAATCTTCTAACCAACTCTATCCTAAAAACCGATGATATTGACCAGTATTACTGTATTTCTCCATTTCCTCCATTTCCCAGTATACCGT